ACACCACCCAGCTCTTGCCCTCTATGTGGAACGGCGACTGCGACCCCGTGCCATTCTCCCGAGAAAACCTGCCAGCACAGGGGAGGAGGCCATGGCGTGGGGGAAGGGGGAGAATGTTGCTCAGTTCTGAGGCTACTCACGCCCAGTGCTCCACAGCACCATCTGATATATGAAATGCGTTTTTGCCTTCGATGTCACGTGGACTGCGAGCCCGTGCCGTTCTCCCGAGAAAACCTGCCAACAGTGGGGGGAGAGGCCGATAAGGGGAGGGTGTTGATTTGTTCGGGGGTGCCTCTAGCCGAGTGCTCCACACCACCCAGCTCTTGCCCTCGACGTGGAACGGCGACTGCGAGCCCGTGCCGTTCTCCCAAGAAAACCTGCCAGCACAGGGGAGGAGGAGGGCGGTCAAGGGAGGGTGCTGCTTAGTTCTGGGGCGCCTCAAGCCCGATGAACAAGGCGTTTGTGAGACACTTGTGTGAGACACTTGTTGTGTGAGACACTTGTGTGAGACACTTGTGTGAGACACTTGTGTGAGACACTTGTGTGAGACACTTGTGTGAGACACTTGTGTGAGACACTTGTGTGAGACACTTGTGTGAGACACTTGTGTGAGACACTTGTGTGAGACACTTGTGTGAGACACTTGTGTGAGACACTTGTGTGAGACACTTGTGTGAGACACTTGTGTGAGACACTTGTGTGAGACACTTGTGTGAGACACTTGTGTGAGACACTTGTGTGAGACACTTGTGTGAGACACTTGTGTGAGACACTTGTGTGAGACACTTGTGGTGTGAGACACTTGTGTGAGACACTTGTGTGAGACACTTGTGTGAGACACTTGTGTGAGACACTTGTGTGAGACACTTGTGTGAGACACTTGTGTGAGACACTTGTGTGAGACACTTGTGTGAGACACTTGTGTGAGACACTTGTGTGAGACACTTGTGTGAGACACTTGTGTGAGACACTTGTGTGAGACACTTGTGTGAGACACTTGTGTGAGACACTTGTGTGAGACACTTGTGTGAGACACTTGTGTGAGACACTTGTGTGAGACACTTGTGTGAGACACTTGTGTGAGACACTTGTGTGAGACACTTGTGTGAGACACTTGTGTGAGACACTTGTGTGAGACACTTGTGTGAGACACTTGTGTGAGACACTTGTGTGAGACACTTGTGTGAGACACTTGTGTGAGACACTTGTGTGAGACACTTGTGTGAGACACTTGTGTGAGACACTTGTGTGAGACACTTGTGTGAGACACTTGTGTGAGACACTTGTGTGAGACACTTGTGTGAGACACTTACTTGTGTGAGACACTTACTTGTGTGAGACTATGACGAGTTGTTCGGGTGTGTGTGAGGGTGGGCTGTGTGTGAGGGTGGGCTGTGTGTGAGGGTGGTCTGTGTGTGAGGGTGGGCTGTGTGTGAGGGTGGGCTGTGTGTGAGGGTGGGCTGTGTGTGAGGGTGGGCTGTGTGTGAGGGTGGGCTGTGTGTGAGGGTGGGCTGTGTGTGAGGGTGGGTTGTGTGTGAGGGTGGGCTGTGTGTGAGGGTGGGCTGTGTGTGAGGGTGGGCTGTGTGTGAGGTTGGGCTGTGCGTGAGGGTGGGCTGTGTGTGAGGGTGGGCTGTGTGTGAGGGTGGGCTGTGTGTGAGGGTGGGCTGTGTGTGAGGGTGGGCTGTGTGTGAGGGTGGGCTGTGTGTGAGGGTGGGCTGTGTGTGAGGTTGGGCTGTGCGTGAGGGTGGGCTGTGTGTGAGGGTGGGCTGTGTGTGAGGGTGGGCTGTGCGTGAGGGTGGGCTGTGTGTGAGGGTGGGCTGTGTGTTCGCGTGGGCTGTGTGAGGCTGGGATGTGCGTGTGTGTGTGTGGTGCATGAGGTAGAGGGAGTCAACGAAACTGGAGGACGAAACGAGAAGGAGCGAGTGGGGTAGTAAGTAGGGAAGGACAATCTCTCTCTCCCTTACTTGATGATAGTAGAGCAATCCGGCGATGCTTCAACGGCCACATCAAACCCCAGCGAGAAATTCCGCGTCGGGAACACCTCAGTTCGCCGGTAACCAGTCATTTCATACGGAGCTACACCCGGCGTGTTACCAATCACAGCGTCTGCAGGGGCCATCTGGCCGTTATCGGACCAGCCTATACCGAGCCAGCCATTGCCCGCGTAGCTCTCCTGCGTGGCTTCGAGCGCCATATGTACAGTGCACCCCTCTACACTCCAATGCAGTATAATCCTGGCATTATAAGTATTGGGGGGAACGGGAGCGGGAGCGGGGCGGGGCGGGGCGGGGGAAGGGTTGGGCGGAGCGGAGGGGAACACAGTGCGCTTTGAGTGGCTTCGAGCGCCATATGTACAACAGGGCGGCCCTCTACACTCCAATGCAGAATAATCTTGGCAACAAAAACGAGGGAGAAGCGGATGGGAGTCTATTTTTGAGGCGCCTGAAAAAAAGAAGCGGATGGGAGGTCATAAACCGGTTGTGGAGGATTCTGAGAGCGTGGCGGACCAGAAGCAGGCTGATTCCATCATCTGATTCCAAGATCTGATTCCATCATCTGATTCCAAGATCTGATTCCATCATCTGATTCCAAGATCTGATTCCATCTGATTCCCCCTCAGGTATGGTTTTGAGGCGCCTCAAAACTTCCGTCTCAGGTATGGAATGGCGTTTCCAGCTGAGGAATCAAGGGGCCAGAGAGGCGGCGTACTTGGAGTCGTAGAGCTGCGCCGAGTAGATATACCCCGGGAGCGTCGAGGGGTTTTGAGCGCCTCAAAAATATCGAAATGCACAGACATGGCGCACATGGCGCCCTAGAGAGAGATGACGTACTTGGAGTCGTAGAGCTGCGCCGAGTAGTTGTAGCCCGGGAGAGTCGACGGCGGACAGGCGTTTCCCATCGCCACCGCGCACTCGTCGCACTCCTCTGGGGGCGTCGGCTCAGGAGGCGGGGGCGGATGATCATTTGGCACAGAGGCGCTCGACTTGCGCCCACTGGCCTCCCCGTTCGCATCTTTCCCCCCAGCGTCTCCCGCTTGCGGATCTCCCCCCTGCGGATCTTCCCCCTGCGGATAATCCTCCTGCGCGCCGCTGGTGTCCGCCGGCGCGGAGGGCTCTGCGGGGCTTGCGTCTTGTGGTAAGGGACGCGGGGGAGGCGAGGAAGGGGGCGCATCCGCGGGCGCTTCCGGCGTCTCCGTTCCGCCCATCGGTTTTTGCTGCGCGGCTTGCTTCTTCTGGGTGCTCCCGGCTCCGGAACCGTCGTTTGTAGCAGAGGAGCCGTCGCCCGTAGTAGAGGAGCCGTGGTCTGTAGCAGAGGAGCCGTCGCCCGTAGCAGAGGAGCCGTCGTCTGTAGCAGGCGGGGCGTTATCTGTCGCGCCGGAGTCGGGCGAAGTGCCGTTTGAGCCGCCGCCGTCAGCGGGCGAGTGGTCCACAAAGGGCTCGTCCTGCACGGAAATCTTGTTGTTATTGCCGCCATTGCCACTGTCGCTTCCAGAGCCTGCTTGCCCATCAGACGCGCTACCGTCGCCGCCATTTGCACCGCCGTCAACGGCACCATCGGAGGAAGTGCCGGGGTCGGTGAAGCTCCAGTCCCACATGCCGTCGTCTTTACTCCTACCGCCACTACTGCTCCTTCCTCCCTCCTCCGTCGTGCTTCCTCCACCGCCGCCGCTACCTCCCTCCATTGTAGTCGAGAGCTTGCTATTGTCACCCCCGTTCGGCGAGTCGAGCTGTTTGTCTGAGGACCTGTATTTGTCTATGGCGGGGTCGACAATATCGAGGGGAACATCTTCCGACGTGGCGCTTTGAGCGTAGGCCGTACCGGCGGGACTTATGTGACTGGCTAGCGTAGCGATGGGGAGAGATGCTAAAAGTGCGACTAGTGAAAGAACTATAAGATGGTGCCTTCTTTGGAAAGTTCTCCATGGAAGGGCCATTATCGATTCTTGGCCCTGCGCCATTGGTAACTGGTGCGTACGCACCAGATATATTGCTGGGTCCGTACGCCCTTCCTTACCTTGTACGCTGCATGCTAGCAAGGACAACAAGGGCACAAAGTAGCCGCCAACAACTACCTAACATTAGAGTCCCACACTCAATAACTCGGCGGGAAGCGTGCTGAAGGGTTTCTGAGTCGCCTGTTCCTGAACTAAGCTGAGCGATGCTTCGCTGCCAACCTGAAGGGAACAAAGCCGAGCTCTGCACACACACTGTGCGCCCGGAAGGGTAAACGTCGCGAACTTCCCTTGCTCGAACAAGGCCGTCATCGATGCACATGCGCTTCCGATCTGTGCCTACGGCATAAGGTATGCTCGCTGCCAAGCAGACGGATCAAGGGTGGTTAGTTTGTTGGCACCGACCACGAGCGCCGTCGCAGCATAACCCAGGTGACGGCAGCTCAAGCGAGAAAGGTATCGTGCAGCCGTCACTGATCTCGTCAGAAATCCATGTCGTTTGCATTTGATTTGGGCCCCCCAATTTCGTCCACTTCCAACACACAGCAAGGGGCTGGAAATTGGGTGGATTGTCGGATGGGTGGTTTGAAATGTCGCGGTTCGGTTAGGGGAATGGTGGGCTCGAAGCGCGGTCCGTTCCTCACGTTGGGGTGTGGCTGTGTAACCGAAGTGCACACCACGTCCCAATGAGACCAGTGTAGCCAGACTTGACTAGTGGCTAAGTGCCACGTGGAGCCCAGTCTTCAAATGACGGCCAGGAATTTTCATACACCCGGGATCGATATGGAAACATGCCTACAGCTGTACCACCTACATGTGCTTCCATGGCTACAAAAACGGTTCTTCCCTTTCACCAACATAGCATCCATGGCTATTATTTTACCTTTACATGACCTCAATACCACCTCCATATTGACCCCAAAGTTTCCTGCAAAATTCCACCCATTATATGAAATTCTATATTTTCTATTCGTTCCAACTTTTTAGCTTGAACCTACACAACTCGAGAAATGCTCCGTCATGCACTTTCATCCTCAATGCTAAATTCCTAGTCAAAGGAACTTCATTACTAGCAAGGCATACATAAGTTTGGCACCCCTAGACGAAAAGCACCACTCATCACGTGCTTTTCAACCATAAGATGAAACCCACACATTGTCCCACAACTAGTGTTAAGCTTTTAGTGCCCCCTACACTACCAACACCATCTTGGCTTACTACACTATATCAAACAGAATAAGCTAGGACAGTCAAGACTTGCACACCAGCTAGTCCCTCCCACGGCCTACCCGAAAGACGGAAACAATGCATTCCACATCTTTCGTAACGCCCCACCTGGCTGGTTACCCCTCTTACTGCTCCCATCACCAGCACCGGTTTGACCTCCAGAGCTATTGCATCCCCCTGTGCTGTTACTGTTACCAGCGCCCCCCAGAGGATCATACGGGGACAAGCCTGACGGATTATCCGGGGTAAATGCCCCTTCTTCGTCGTCGCCTGGGCTACCCTCACCCATGAGAACCTCGGGTGCAGTGTTGCAGGAGAAGTCCACTCTTGCTACTCCTCTGTGTAGCCGGGGGGAGACGAGGTGGGGGAGAGTGCAATGGGGGAAGGCAGGGAAGGGGGCAGGGGAGGAGGATGAACAGAGGTGAGAAGAGAGAAATCTGCTGGTGCTGTTCCTCTGCGCTGGGGGGGGGGAGAAGAAGTGTTGGGGGGACGGGAAAGAGTTGGGGGGACGGGGAAGAGTTAGGGGGACGGGGAATAGTTGGGGGGACGGGGAAGAGTTGGGGGGACGGGGAAGAGTTGGGGGGACGGGGAAGAGTTGGGGGGACGGGGAAGAGTTGGGGGGACGGGGAAGAGTTGGGGGGACGGGGAAGAGTTGGGGGGACGGGGAAGAGTTGGGAGGACGGGGAAGAGTTGGGGGGACGGGGAAGAGTTGGGGGGAGAACAGTTGGGGGGGAGGGGAAGAGTTGGGAGGAGAAGAGTTGGGGGGAGGGGGAGAGTTGGGGGGAGAAGAGTTGGGGGGAGGGGGAAGTCAAGAGGCGAGAGGAAGGGTGGCAGTGGGCAGGCGGGGGACAGGAGGAGTGGGGAGATGGCAACGAAAAGAGAAGGGATATGGGAAAGGTTTGAGTACATGCTGCGAGTACGTCAGCAATGGGGCAATGAGGGTTACCTATGCGTGCTGTGGTAACCAAGCGTCTGGAACATGTCGCGAGAGTACGCCCAGATGATGAAGTTAGGTCCGGACTGTTGGATCGGCACCAAGCCTCCATCCCCTTGCGACCGGGAGAACCTGGTTTGGTTGGACGCACGTACACGAATACACGCAAGCATGCAGAAGCATTCTCATGCAGTGTCGACGTGCATATATGCACTAAGGATTGCATGCGTGGTAATGATACACGAGTATGGGTGTTAGTCATATGTATGCGCACAGATTGGCAGCAGGAGTATGTGCGTGTGGGTATGATGGTATGATCGCGGGAGCTTAGATGACTGAACTCCGAATGCAAACCTCCTTGCTGGGAGGGCAGGTTCCTTTTTCGCAACTTCCGTACGCTCCTTCCCCCCACTTCCTCCCCCCCCCTTACCCCCTCTATCTCCCCCACCCCACCCCACCCTTCTCTCTCCCCACGTTCACAGCTCGGGTTCGAGTGCTGGTTCGTTGCGTGTTAGACAGTGCGAAGCCTGCATTCTTGATCGTATGCACGCGTCCTCCCCTGTCTGCCGCCATTCGATCAATAATGCTACGAGGGTGGCTTGTAACGGGGACAATGCGAGACTCGTTAGTCCTCGAAGCACGGGTCAGTACAAGAAGGAAACTGAGTTAGATTTTGCATGCACCACAAATGCATCGTAAATTAGACAATGCATATCCAGAGTTACACACCAGAACACTGTAGATCCGGAAGCCGTGGAGGTCGATCCCTTATCCCCGAGTCTAATATGATCCGTCGCGTTTACCGAATCCGCGGTGTACCCGCCGAGAGAGAACGCACGGATCGCGCCGCCCTCGAGATTGCCGATGACTGCATCGGACGGCGACATTGCGCCGTTGGGCGACCAGCCGACGCCCATCCAACCGTTGTCGACCTGGCTGCTTAGCCGAGCCTCGACTGCGATGTCCAATGAGGAAGCACCCAGCCGCCAGTGGAGCAGAAACCTGGAAACATTGAAGGGAAAGGGGAAGAAAGCAGGAAAAGAGAGGGGTGTGTGGAGCTGAGGGGCGACCAGCCGACGCCCATCCGACCGTTGTCGACCTGGCTGCTTCGACGCGCTTTGAGTGACGATGGGGGAGGCACTTACTGATCGGGAATGAGCGGGGCGGAGAACGAGTATCCATCCAGGTCGGACGCGGGGCAGGCGGTACCCGGCGTCACTGGACCAGGGGCGGGCCCACTGGGGGACGGAAGGGCGGGAGCATTCGGACGCGGAACCGGAGCCGCGGGGACCGCAGGTTCCGCCGTGCCGGGGCCTGCGGGGGCGGATGGATTGGCGGGTTTGGGAATTGGCGAATTTGGGGAGGAGGGACCTGGAAGAGAGGGGCCGGTGGGATCAGACGGCGCAGCGGGAGCGGAAGGAACGGCGGGGGGATCGGGAACCGTCGGAATGGTGGGTTGCGGGGAGGAGGGAATGTCGGGGAGGGTGTCTGGCGTGAACTGCGGCGCGGAGGAGGAGGGGACGAAGGGGAACGCGAGCTCGATGGACGACGCGGCTCGCGCTGCCGGAATGGGGTCGGCCAACCCGGGGGTTACTGCGAGCGCGTGCAGTAACAGGGTTACCAGAGAGGCCGAGATGGCGGAGCTCGGTCTCTTGCGCACCATGGTTACAAAGGCCATCTCGGCTTCACGCACGCCCGGCCCTGTCTTGTGCGCGAGGGCGCGGTGGTCAGGGCTATGGCCCAGGGCTAAGTACTAGCAGTGATATTAGGCGATTAAGACGAATCACGAATGAGCGAAGAAGAGAAGAAACGATGGGAGACGAGGCTTCTAGGGGAACTGAGCGGCACGAGTGAGCTTCGTTTTGTTTCTCCGTTGGAGGTAGAATGGCGGCTTGAGCAAGCTCTACCCGCGCATAGGCTGATTCTCCTTGCCCGTTGGCCGTTGCACTGAGCAATCAAGGTCGTTTGGCTCCTCCTGTAGTGCGACAAGACACGTCGCCAGCCAGCGCTTGCACTAGTGCATTGCTGGTCGCTATGTTGGCGACAGTCGGATGGATGGAGGTGGTTGGGGGGGGTGTAGGGGAGGAGGGGGCGCGTTCTTGCTGCTTTGCTAGCTAGTGCGGGGGGTGTGTGTGTTGGCAACGCAACGCAACACAGCTGGAGCGGGGGAAGTGAGGTTGGAATGGAAAAGCAGGGGGCGCCGCAAATTGCCGGGCACCCATTAGGACGTGCAGTTTGCGACAGCAAATTCAAACACATTGGGAGATCGCGTCGCGAATTTGAGTCGCACCGCCATGACTCCACGTTGTCACGTCAGGCGAGTGCGAGGCTGATTGCATGAGGCTGATTGGACAATGGTGGGGCAAAACGCCACGAACGAAGCTGAGCAGCAGGGCGGAGCTAGCGCCTTCGCCGCTATGTCATTTGTTGAGGCTTGATAATTCGCGAGATAGTTACTAACGTCGCGAGAATTCGTTGAAGCAATTCAGTAACAAGAACCGGACAATCAGCTATATCCTAACTAGGCAATGCCATTCTACTACCCCACAAAGTTGGTGAAAACCAAACTAACAGGTGAACCGTGAATTTTATATTCACATCTGATTCAAAATGATTGAATAATAAATTTAATTTAATTCCCTTTTCAAATAGGGAAGCTTGGCTCTGTGAAGGTAGCATGTTAATTCCTACGCCTTTTGCTATATGTCTTTGGTTGGAAATATGCTTCTGTATGAAAGGACTGCTCAGTGTATACCGGGTGCAACAGGTGATGGGTACCAGGCACGGATCAGCGACTGCGCTTTTCAATCTGTCGCCCTTGATTGTCGCTCCTCCATCCCAGCTCCAACCACAAGCCGACACGAGTGCAAACACAGCCAGATACATTTCACTACTGGCTACTCTCTTTCTCGCGAGCACCGTGCGACAAGTTCGGGGTAACAGCAGCAATTTCCACATCACCCAGCCCCTTTTTCGGACAAATCCGTTCGGCATTTTGATCAGGCGCGGTCCGCGCGCGCAGCGTGCAAATCCAATTTCCCGCACATCTCCGAATTGATCGTTTTGTGAAACATGCCCAAGCCGCACATTTGGGAAATTGCTCCGGGGCAAGTGCCTTGCTTCGTTTCCCCCCTGGTCATTCGTCACCTTTTATTCTTCCCGCGCCCTGCAAATAAATCCCATCGGCTTCATTTCTCTCCCATCCCAAGTTTTGCGGATCCCTCGGAACTAGCCCTCGCTCATTGATTTCTCGACTTAGTCCACATAGGCCCTTCACAATCGGAATATTCGGAAGACATATTGCCTCCATTTCACGTCATACCATCCCAGAAGTTCTGACCGTGCTCGCTTGATCGCAACTGCGCGCAGTCACTGCTACTACTAGCCTGCATTCACCTCCCAAAGGCGCCCCATCCGTTCCAATCCGCACTATGGCGGCCGTTTCGGCTGCAGTTCACAGGCTTCCTCAAAGATCAAGACCGCTCATCAGGATCACAGGCTGCGTACTCGCTCTCCTCCTCTTCTCTTCGCTCCCAGCTCATGCCGCTGACATGAAACCGCGTTTCGGCACGAACCCAACGCCTGGAAACACAAATCCGCCCAGCCTGCCGCCATCCACTCCGACCAATGGCGGTGCCTCGAGCAGCGGCTCGGGCAGCGGCTCCAGCGCGTTCACCCCCGACCCTTTTGTCGGCGAGACGCCTCCGGCGACTCCCATTAACTCGGACGACCCGCTAAGCGGCGAGAGCGATCCGGTTACCGAACCTCCGCCCACACCCTCCGCCACTCCTGCGCCAAGCCCGCCGAAAAAATCCCCCCCGCCCAGCAATCCAGCGCCCAGTCCGCCCAAGCCTTCCCCGGTTCCTGCGGCCCCGGTCAACAAGCCCACGTCAGCGCCGTCGTCGGTCATCTCGCAAAACGCGGGGACTGCGGGGAAGGCGACTTTTGGCGGGTCGGCGGGGAAAAGCCCTGTGAACCAAGTGGGGAAGACTCAAACGGGGACGACTGGGAAGGTCAAAGCGAGGCAGTCTGACGGTAATGACGTGGTAACCGGCCCGGCGCCGTGTCTCCAATCCACGCTTTCGGGCTTCACGAATTCCGTCAATCTGACGCGGCTCGGCGGCGTGAGCCTGCACTGGAAGATCACGAGCCAATCGTCGATCAATTTTGCCCTGGAGGCGAAACCGACGAGCAAGGCGAAGCGCGGATGGATCGCTGTGGGGTGGTCTTCGCGAAAGAGAAAATTCCCGTCGGATTTGATCGTTGGTAACCTGCCGGGTTCTACGGTTGGTGCTTATGACATTTACGGCTACGGCGCGGGGTCGACTCTCAAGTCGACCACGGTTCATCTCAGCGACACGAGCGTCGAGAAGCCCGCTGCTGGCGGCTTTATCGCAAGGTGAGAATGCGCAATGTGGTAACTTCGCAATGTCGAAGTTGAAGATTTGATTCGCTAACCAGTGCCCATCACAAACTAACCTGTTTTGGCTGTTTCGGCTACTATGCTAAACACGTACCATCCTACTTCAATAGAAGTATATTTATTTTGCCTTTCTCTCTTGATTGTATTCGTGATATTCACATCACCATTAAACCCCATTCTTTTCCTTTCGTTCCATTTTGCCCTTCCGTTTCTTCCGTTTCCCGCCACGTCACGCCACGTCAGATTCACCCGGTCCACGGACGACGGAACAGTGCGGGTGGTCGTGGGCCCGAACCGCCTCATCTGGGCGTGGTCGATCGAAAACACTGAGGCCGTCGCGCTCCGAAAGAGCCGCCGCGGGGAGCTCGTTGTTGATTTCACCTGCGCCGCGGGAGCCCAGCCCGTGACGACCCAGAGCAAGCCCAAGAGCCCCCTCACGCCTTCCGCCAAGAAGTCCCCCCCCGCGCCCTCGAAAACCAGCCCCCCGAAATCTCCGACCAGCCCCTCGAAATTTCCGACCATCCCCGCAAAATCTCCCGCCAGCCCCGCGAAATCTCCGACCAGCCCCGCGAAATCGCCGGCCAAGTCTCCGGCCAAGTCTCCGCCGAAGCCTGCGCCGACGACGCCGCCCGCGAAGACCAACTCGAGCAGCAGCGGCGGAAGCGGCGGAAGCGGGGGATTCAAAACGGGGAGCTCGTGCGCCGCGTCGAATCTGTTGGGATTCTCCTTCTCCGCACCGCTGCTGGTGGACAAGTGAGCTCATTGAATGTGGTCCCTTTGAAGTGAGCTCATTGAATGTGGTCCCTTTGAAGCGAGCTCATTGAATGTGGTCCCTTTGAAGTGAGCTCATTGAATGTGGTCCCTTTGAAGTGAGCTCATTGAATGTGGTCCCTTTGAAGTGAGCTCATTGAATGTGGTCCCTTTGAAGTGAGCTCATTGAATGTGGTCCCTTTGAAGCGAGCTCATTGAATGTGGTCCCTTTGAAGTGAGCTCATTGAATGTGGTCCCTTTGAAGTGAGCTCATTGAATGTGGTCCCTTTGAAGTGAGCTCATTGAATGTGGTCCCTTTGAAGTGAGCTCATTGAATGTGGTCCCTTTGAAGCGAGCTCATTGAATGTGGTCCCTTTGAAGCGAGCTCATTGAATGTGGTCCCTTTGAAGCGAGCTCATTGAATGTGGTCCCTTTGAAGTGAGCTGAAAATGCGCGTGGCCCCTCAGAGACGCATGATTAGCATTTTTCCCTCCTCGATGGTCGCTCTCTCCCCGTTCCCCCCTCCCCGTTCCCCTCTCCATTCCCCCCTCCCCATTCCCCCCTCCCCGTTCCCCCCTCTCTCTGCAGCTTCGCTCCCCATTCCCCCCTCCCCTTTCCCCCCAACGATCCCCTTAGACCTTCTCCTGCCCACCCCCCCCCAGGCTCACTCCCCACTGGAAGATCATCGGAAGCAACACTCTCGAGGTCGCCGTTGAAGCCAAGGTGGTCAACTCAAGTCAACGTTCTTCTCCCTTATCCACCCTGCTGACTCCCCCCCCCCCCAACCCCTCTCCCCCCCAGGCTGACCCTTCACTGGAAGATCATTGGATCCGACACTCTCAAGGTGGCCGTGGAAGCCAAGGTGGTCAGCTCAAGTCAACGTTATTCTCCCTTATCCACCCTGCTGACTCCCCCCCCCCTCCCAACCCCCCCCCCCCCCCCCAGGCTCACCCTCCACTGGAAGGTCATCGGATCCGACACTCTCAAGGTGGCCGTGGAAGCCAAGTCGGGCACCAACATCGACAACGGGTGGTTCGGCGTTGGCTGGTCGAGGAACGGCGCCATGTCGCCCGCCGATGCTGTGCTGGGCAACCTCGCAGGGGGGGCTGTGAAGGCGTACATGCTGGGCGGATACACTAAAACGGGCGTGCAGCTATCGAATCGGCTCACGCTGAGCAACGACCGAGGGACATCAACGACAGGGACTGGGAATACCATGTTCTGGTGAGTTTCCTCCCCCCTCCCCCTCGCCCGCCGATGCTGTGCTGTGCTCGGGGGGGGCTGTGAAGCCGTACATGCTGGGCGGATACACTAAAACGGGCGTGCAGCTATGACCTCCCCTCCCCTTCTCCTGCATCCCGCTCCCCTTCTCCTGCATCCCGCTCCCCTTCTCCTGCATCCCGCTCCCCTTCTCCTGCATCCCGCTCCCCTTCTCCTGCATCCCGCTCCCCTTCTCCTGCATCCCGCTCCCCTTCTCCTGCATCCCGCTCCCCTTCTCCTGCATCCCGCTCCCCTTCTCCTGCATCCCGCTCCCCTTCTCCTGCATCCCGCTCCCCTTCTCCTGCATCCCGCTCCCCTTCTCCTGCATCCCGCTCCCCTTCTCCTGCATCCCGCTCCCCTTCTCCTGCATTCCGCTCCCCTTCTCCTGCATTCCCTCCCCTTCCCCTCCCCTTCCCCTCCCCCTTCCCTTCCCTGCGTTCCTTTCACCCATCTCTTTCCCCCTACCCCCTCCCCCTCTCTTGCTCCCCCTAGGTTCACCCGCAAGGTGGCAGACGGGGGTCTAGCGCCAATTATGGACCTCAAGGCACCAGCCTATATCATCTGGGCATACGCTCAAGACATGTTCCAGACAGTGGGGTACCACGGGATCAACCGTGGGCTTAACCAGATCGACTTCTCGTGCAACCAAAAGCCCAAGTCCATCATGTCACCCGGAAGTAACAAGATCAACGACAGCATTGACGACGACCATAATTGAAGCAATAGTAAACCTGCTAATTCTTTTGGTGGGGCAGGGTGGAGGGTTGGAGTGGTAGCCCCTCCACTCCCCTTCCCTCGTGGTGGTAGCTCAAGTACTTGCCAAGTTACACATCTTTCTTGAGGCAGTTCTCTGCCTACGCAGGAGGGCCTCAAAAGCTCGTAGTCTAACCAAGAATGTAGCACCATGGGTGGAATAACTTGGATGGCAGTGGTAGGGAGGAGGGGGAAATAAGTTAGGCTATGGATGAGGAGGTCAACAGCCTCTAGCTAGATTATATACATTTGATGGTAGGGTTTTGGGGTTTAGGAAAGCAAAATCCTTTGTACCTAAATTTGTGGCAACCTTCCACGGGAAAGCAAAAGGTTGCACTTGAATTTTCTGCCTCGCTAGTACCCGTATTCCCCCGTATATAACACCCTAGGGTACTGTCAAAATTTCATTAAAAAAACGTATGGGTGTTAACAGTAGGCCGGAAAAATATAAAGCCAATGTCTTATGTAAAATGCAAAATGAATTTGGGTTGTAACAGACACTTTTGAGGCCAGAACTTCACCAAGCAACTGCTAATGAGGAATTTGCTACAGAGGCCCTGATCGGTTGGCCGTATTCTGGAATAAGGATGGTGTAGGCTTAAAGCCAACCAATATTTTTAATCACACCAAACCTCCTGGAATAGAGGTGCGTACCGATCACCAGAATAAGGAAGGCTGGAATACGGCATGAGGAAAGGGCACCTAGCTGCTGACTCGGGCGAAATCGTGCCAACAGCCGGTCGATGTGTCTTCCAATTTTTTTGCAGGAATCGCTGGGAATAGTGAAGAGTGGGGCAATCCAGACGCAATAACGAATGCCCTTTGTTGGAAATATCTCAAGGACTTAAGCGTTTCTGAAGTGTAACACTGTACTCGAGGAAGATTACAGGGGAGCACGCGAGTCAACGGAGGTTACACGAGGGGGCGGACAAAGAATGCGAAAGGACTCGAAAGGTCGCAACTGGAGGTTGCGACTGACCGTTACAACATCACGGATGGTAACCGAAGCGGCAATCGAGTCGCTGTGCGACTCGATAAACCGTTCCTGTAACTGTATTCTACAACTGCTTTCTTATCTTCTATATATTGCTGTATGCTTGTTTCTTTAATCAATCACTTGTTCTCACATACTAGTACAAGGGTTCAACTGCCTCAACTTCCGCTGCACTACTCCAAGTCTCAAGTCTCTACAAGCTGGGACTTAGTCTCTGCAAAAGATCCTAAGGGCTTTTTCTCAGCCCAACATGGTATGAGAGCTGGTCAGAGATCAAACTCCCAGCAACTACGCTCCATCAACAAACTGCAACTCAACTCAATTCAACGACTTCATTGATTACAAGACATGGACAGCAAGGGCAAGAAAGCCTCTACGGGCTCACCCAGCGGCCAAGAAACTCAACACGGCAACTCTGGTCTGCACACCTCAGGATTGCAGACAGAGACCGGGACTGCTCAAGAAACAACAGGAAGAGTACCAGAGATGGTGACTCCGTCTCCCTCTTCAAGTGTGGACCCGAATCTCATGGAGAGATTCTTCAGCTTCATGTCACACTTCGACCAGCAACAGCAGACAAGGACACCTGCGCATTCAACACAGAGCAATGGAGGAAACATGGGATTAGCGCCGATGAGCCTCGACAACTCATCCTTCGGGCGACACAACCAAGCACCTACCTTTGCGCCTTATCATTCTTCACCGGGGACGTTCGAGTTCATGCCGCCCCGCGCCCAACCAACAGCAGCTGCATCACAACAAACACCAAACGAGATTCTCAGTCTTCAAGCTCAATTCTCACACGTCATCAAGTTACAAACATCCTCACCGTTCAACGGACACGACTTCTTTACCTGGAGCTTCGAGTTCGAGCTGCTGATGGAGGCCGCGCATCTTCTGGGATACTTCAACGGGTCCCTGCCATTCCCAAGCAACGGCACTGGAAAGGAACAAGAGATCTTCACGTATCAGTCGCTACTGGCGTATACAGTCCTCCTGCGGAACCTGTCACCACAAGAGCAGCAGAGCATCAGAACGTATCGGAGTTATGGAAACTCCGCGGAACTCGCATGGCATCATCTCAAATGCCTCTACCAAGCAAACGACAGCGTGACACAAAGCAGACTCATGCAACAGCTGACAACAATACAGATGAAGACCGGGGAAAAGGCGATGCAGTATATGAGTCGCTGCCAGACCCTGCGCGACCGCCTGCTTCGGTGCGGAGGAACGATCACTGAAGAAAGCTTCGTCACACTTGTCCTCGCCGGGCTCGGACCAGAATGGAGAACCACACGATCGCTTCTTCGCGCCCACGGAAGGATCTCGGAGATGCACCTCTGCGCCGAGCTTCACGCTGAACAACAGGAGATGGATCTGTTCGAGGAAAGACAACCAAGGAAGCAACAGCAGTTAGTCTTCTACACTCAAAGAAGAAATGACATAAACTACAACCGACGCAGCAAGCAAGATCAACGCGACAACCGAGGACTCACCATCGTGCCGCCGTTCTGCCACAACTGCCAGACTTCCGGACACTCCAAAGTCAACTGCAACCGCCCTCGCGTTTACCGAGCAGCAGACCCACAAGTTGCTTCCACTCAAGCAAGTTCCCCAAGGCGCTCTTCAACATCTGCACAAGGGACACCAAATATCATCAACTGCATGGTACACATCGACAACTGCGCACCCAGATCACCACCCACTTACGCACCAGACGAAGAGGAATTCCCGCCGCCGCGCTCACAAGGACTTCAGGTCAACCCGACATACGCTGCGGTCGCCAACGCCGAACCCACCGGGCGAAACACCTGGTTCTTGGACAGTTGCTGCGGACAACACATGTGCTCCTCAGGACGCTTCGTACAACAGGAGAAACGACTCAACCGCGACGTCGTCATCACCGTCGCCAACAACGAAAACCTGAAGACAAACAGACAGGGCGTGGTTCAGTTACAATCAATGGAGACGAATGTCATACTTCAACTCAACAAGGTGCTCATTGTCGACAATCTGGGATACAACCTACTAAGCGTAAGCCAACTAATGGCCAAGGGGATTCACCTGGAGTGCGACTCTTACTCCAACGAGTTCCGGCTTTACCACGGGAAGGGCGGCCTCTTCATCGGTCGTGCCCTCCTGAAGTCCGGTGTCTTCGTGTTGGACTTCGTCCCCGACCGCGGAACTGCCGACAGCGATGGCATCGTATCGTTCGCCGCCTGGACTCACCCGCCGGATCTTGACCCCGACTTCGACAGTGACGGCTTCTGGCACTCCAACACCATACCTGCAGCAGAGAGAACACGAGCATTAGCAGTTATCAGACAAGAAAGACAAGTACCCGCAAGTGTCCCAACAAAACCATCACCTGCAGTATCAGCAGCAGGACCCAGCCGAGTACCACCACCATCAACACGAGGACCGCCAACGGAAGCAGACCAACTTATGCCCGCCACACGAGAAGCTTGTCGAAGTCCCGCCTCAGTCGTCGCGTTCTTCTCCAACGCCGACATCTACCACCGCTCGCCCGGCCACCGCGCTCCCGACGACATCTGGCACCAACGTCTCGGACATCCTGCAAACAGCACGATACTTCAAACAATCCAAGCAGAGGTGTTAGAACGCAACGCCCTTCTGACGACGAACGGCCAGGAACTCCGACGACCACGCGCACGGTGTTTCACATGCCCCGAAGCAGATCTTCCTCATCAACCTTTCCAAGCCCATCACAATCCAAGCGCACCCACTTACGCTCCGATGGAAAAAGTCTACAGCGATATTCTAAACATGCCTCGAGACGACACCGAAGCCGACTTCAACTACGTCATCACGTTCATCGACGCCGCAACCAGATACGTCTGGCACTTCAATCTCAAAACGCGCGATCAAGCCTTCGAGGCCTTCACCACATGGCTTCCAATCGCCGAACGAGAGTCAGGAACCAAACTCAAGAGTTTCCAGTCAGACGGTGCACTGGAATACCAGTCACAACGCTTCAGGACCTATCTCGCGGAAAGGGGAATCCGACGCCTGGTGTCTCTGCCCTATGCTCACCAGCAGCAGGGGGTAGCAGAACGCATGAACCGGACCTTGCAGACGACGATGCGAAAACTGCTTCTGGGGATGAGGCTGCCCAACGCACTGTGGCCAGACGCGATGACACATGCTGTTCACCTGCACAACCTGCTGTCTTCGTCATCACTTCCCAACAACGCATCACCGCACCTGTTGTGGACAAGAAAAAGGGGCAGCACAAAATTACTCCGCGTTTTCGGCTGCATGGTACAGTACAGACCCCACACAGCCCGAGCAGGACGCTTCTCACAAAGAGCTCGATGGGGACTACACCTCGGCATCGCAAAACATTTTCACGCGTGGAAAATTCTCGACATACAAGACAAAAACACGGTGGCATCACGCGATGTTATCTTCTACGAACGACTGACGCTGCAGCATTACCTGGACAACCTTGCCAACACACAAGACCCCACCGACGGCTTCGCGGGCCTTCGCTCCTTCGCTGACCATACTGCCGAGGCTGACGCAGCAGAAGAAGACGTACCTGGAGCCTCGGAAGCTGCCGGACCACTCCCATTCTGTTCCGCACCTGTTCCACTCGATGAAGAAAATCCCCTCGATAGCAACAACCTCGACACCTTTTACCACTTCGCCGACCAAGGTTACGCTACACCTCACCCCGTCGACACGAATATTTCGGAACGCATCGGCCCCAATTTCTTACCTGACCCCGAAGACGGTGACGAAGCAGCTTATTCCGGGAATGAAAATTCCCCTCGACACACGCCCACGGGACTCCAGATTCTAGGCCTCTGGGTCTCCGTCCAGAATCCGCCGCCGCCTTCTCCGCGAGAGCCTTCAACGTTGTCGCAGGCTCTGGGGGGGGAACATAAGGCAAGATGGAAGGAAGCAATGGAAAAGGAGTTAAAAGCTCTGCAAGACCGAGAAACATGGAAACTGGTACCTGCAACGAGCATCAACGGAAAAAACGTTCTCTCGGGGAAATGGGTGTACCGCATCAAGACCAACTCAGACGGTTCCATCGAACGATTCAAAGCTCGATGGGTCGTACGAGGCTTCGACCAACGATACGGAGCCGACTACACAGAAACCTTCGCTCCAGTCTCCCGTCACACCTCATTACGCATCCTACTCGCCGTCGCGGCCACGAAAATGTTGTGTGATGTCATCATATGCTATCACATTCTGTCTGCCTCTCATCTCTTGTTTCAATTCGTATGTATGGTTTGACTGTGTGTGAAAGAATTTGTGTGTGGTGTGTTCTGGAGTTTGGGAATGTGTTTTGTGTTATTCTGTCTGAGCAGGTATTTGTGATGATAGATCTTGAGAAGATCTTTCCGACGCAACAAGAATCGCTTCAATCGGAGCAAGAACGCGAAAGCTATGAAGATTCAAAGTTCATGAGCTTGCGTTACAATTGCGGCGGTTACAAAGTGAAGTTGTGGGGTGACTTTATATGGAGTTGGGACCTTTGGGGTTGGGGAAATTTGTCACTCTACTGTAACAGCTGCAAATTGGTTGGGAACAACCAAGCTAGGTTGGCAAGGGTGGCCAACTTGGATGGATTGGTTGGGAAGGGACAAAGGTCAAAGTTGAGGTTCCTATAGGGAGGGAATCTTTGTGCTTATGGGGTTTCCTTGGTTGGGGACTCTCTTGGGACCTTCCCTCTCGTCCCTCTCCATCTATCCCAACCTTTCTCTTGCTCCTTCTAATTCCTTGTGAGATTCTTGAACTTTGATTGAACTTTTGAGATTGAGTTAAGTTCTCCTCCTACAGCTTACCCCCTAATGCGTCGAAAGCTATAGCGTTGCGAATACTTCATTAATTAACGTGATTCAAATTGGGAACGGTAGCTGAGATTAAGAGCTACAACATATCCGAGTTTCGCGACATTCCAACGGCTAGTTTTTCGTCGACGTCGTTTCTTGTGAAGACGACTTTTCTGTCCAGAATTTCGGATTTATATTTTGAGTAATTCTAGCTCCTAAGTTCACCTAGACTCCGTCCTTAATCCTAACAAGTGGTATCAGAGCCATATTAAGGACATTGAGAGGAGTCTACAGAAGTGTGAAGACCCTTCTAGACCCACCATGGCCTGTGGGTGTGCCTAAGTGGTGTTCTAAAGGTTGGATGTGTCTTCCGCTAAGGGGAAACTCTGCCGAAATTTCGTGGACGCCGATACTTGTGAAAATATCGAGGGAGCTGAGTGTGGACAGCAAAGGGGAGCTGAAATTCGTCATTTCTCAAGGAGAAGATGAATGAGAGAGGAGGAGATGCTAATGGAAGAGGAGCTGTAGCTGAGAAGACAAGTGAGCCGCCGCCATCAAAAGTTGAAGCTTTGGATGGCTCCAACTATGAGGAATGGAGCGGACGGATGAGGAGTGCCTTCAAACGCTACAAGCTACTGAAGATTGCTGTTGGGGAAGAGAAGATGCCGGAAGAAGGCGAAGCACGCGAACGGTGGATTGAGAAAAGCGCGGTGCTTTTCGACCTCATCCTTCAATCGGTCAACAAGGAGATGTTCGAGCACATCAAGGATCTTGTGGAAGCGGATGATTCGGGTCCAAGGGCGTGGAAACTACTACGTGATGTGATTCAGCCCAACACTCTCCCAATGGTGATCGTGCTCGAGAAGGAACTTGCTGCCATCTCCATGCGACCAGGGGACGATGTGAAGCCGGTCCTTGACAAGATCAAGGACACCTATGCAAGGATGGCAGCAGCGGGCAGTAGTGTATCTCAGCTGCAGCAGTGCACCAAGATCATCTCGGTGTTGGACAACTCTTGGGACAACCTCATCCCCACCCTCAACTCTCAGCAAGATCAATGGACACCTGAGTGGCTAAGGCAGCAGATTCTGCAGGAGGACTTCCGCAGACGCCATATGGGAGGCGGTGCTGCCACTAAGACTGCTGAGGGGTATGGAGCTGCAGGGCGCGGCAAAGGAAGAGGGGGTTGGAGAGGCCGAGGCCGTGGGAGGAGCTTTGGCAGAGGTAGAGGCCGAGGTGACTATAATGAGGGGCATGGAAGCTCCAGTGGCAGGGGGAGTACCAGAATGGAGGGCACCTGCTGGTACTGCAAGAAGGTCGGGCATCCTTGGTTCAAGTGCTTCAGCAGGCCGGAGGGATGGGCACCTCCAGGCATGAAGCCGCCCAGTGGTGAACGCGCACAAGGTGGCGCTGTGCAAGGCTCAGGTGCACAAGGTGAAGGTGCACAAGGTAATGCCTATCCTGGTTTGTTTCTTATGGTTGAGGATGTGCATGGGCATGAGGGTGATGTGGGATCTGTGGGAAAGGTTGTGATGCACCCTCTCATGCACTGGGTGATTGATTCGGGTTGCATCAGTCACATGACCCCACGGGCAGATTTGCTTGATGAGGTAAAACCCCCTGGGAAGATCAAGTATGTGGCAGCAGCGTCAGGTGCTTTGCTCCCTGTGATTGGCGTTGGGAATGCCAAGGTTAAGGGAGCTAATGGGGAGCTTGTGGGGCTTGGGAATGTTCTGCTAGTTGAAGGTTTGTCTGCTAACCTTCTCTCTGTGCGGCGACTGCAGAAGAGCAAGGCCGAAGTGACCTTTGGACCAACCAGCTGCCGTGCTAAGCTTGGGAAGAAGGTGCTGTGGAGTCTGGAAGAGGAGACCAGCTGCATCAAGGACCTGTGGCAGCTGCCCATCATCCCATGGAATGGGAAGACTCCAACAGCAGCAACGGCAGCAGCGGCAAAGGCAACAGCAGGAGGAGATGCAACTGCACCAAATGATGGGGTCCTGGAAGCAGTCAAGAAAGTGCAGAAGCAGCAGACACATGGTGAGGTGCTTGCTGGTGTGGATGCGAGTGCGGCATGGGCTAAGGCTTCATCAAGGAGTGGAGAGGCCGATTGGGAGACATGGCATGAGAGGTTGTGTCATGTGAACTTCCCTATGCTGCAGAAGTTGGTGAAGAATGGGAGCCTGAAGGGCTTGGAGGTGAAAGGGGAAGTGAAGGAGATTGGGAGCTGTCCTACATGCTTGGAGACCAAGTTCTCCAAGTTCCCCTTCAACAGCACTACAGGACCAGCCAAGACCCCACTTGCACTTGTGCACATGGATGTGGTGGGGCCCACAAGAGCCCCTTCCCTCTCAGGCAGCCGCTATTTCTTGACAATTGTAGATGACCACACTCGGGCAGTGTGGGTTTACCCTTTGAAGAGCAAGGGGGAGGTGGCAGCGGCTGTCCTTAAGGAGTGGATGCCTAGAGCTCAGAGGGAATGCGGACACAAGGTGAAGGTGATCCGTAGTGACAATGGTGGGGAGTTCATTGGAGCTGATTTTGAGGGGGAGTTGAAGAGGAAGGGGATCCAGCATCAACTGACAGTGCCCTACAACCCACAGCAGAATGGCGTGGCTGAGAGGTTCAACAGGACCCTGCAGGAGGGGGCACGCACTCTCCTTGGGCGTGCAGGGCTGCCTGATCCGTTTTGGGTGTCTGCACTGAGGCAGGTCGCCCTTGTGAAGAACAGGGTGCTGGCTACAGTTGGAGATAAGGAGTGGATCCCATATGTCAAGTGGTATGGGAGTGCTCCAGCTGTGAACATGCTGAGGGCATTTGGGTGCATGGTGGTGTTTCATGTGCCCAAGGAGAAAAGGGGGAAGTTGGAGGCTTCTGGAAGATGGGGTGTGCACTTGGGGATTGCAAAGGATCACAAGGGGTGGCTGCTATGGGACTTGACCACCCAGAAGTTGACAGTGTCAAGGGATGTGAAGTTTCTTGAGTCCCTGTACTACAAGGAATGGAAGCAGCAGCAACAGAAGCTTCCATCTACACCGCTCATTGTGGAGGCAGATGAGGTGCAGCAGCCTTCAAGACAGGTGGAGGTTGCAGTGTCAGAGGAGGAGATGTCTGGGGTGACTGAGGAAGGGGGAGCAGCTGAAGTGGAGCAGCAGCAGCAGCAGGAGCAGCAGCAGCAGCATGAGTCTCCACCTCGAGTTCCACACCCGCCTGAGCGACCTAGGAGGGATGTGCGCCCTCCGGTGAGGCTGACCTATGGGGGAAGAGGCAAGCCAAATGTGGTGCAGGCTGGGAGCGTGGTTGAGCAGATTGAGGAAGATGAGATCGCTCACTGCTACTGGGCACCAATCCCTGAGCCCAAGACTCGAGAGGAGGCCTTGAATGGACCAAATGGGGAGAAGTGGAAGGCGAGTGAGGATGAGGAGTTCGGGTCCCTGATTGAAAACGAGACATGGGACCTGTGTGACTTGCCTCCTGGGAAGAAGGCAATCACTTCCAAGATGATCTACAGGCACAAGTATGGACCTGAAGGGGAGCTGACCCGCTACAGAGTCTAGGCTTGGTGGCACGGGGGTTTCAGCAGGACAAAGGGGAAGGACTATGATGAGGTGTTTGCTCCTGTGGGGAAAGGAACAACACTGAGGGTGCTGTTGGCGATAGCTGCACTCCTGGGATGGAAGATACGGCAGATGGACATTGTGACTGCCTTTCTGAATGGGATCATTCTGGAGGAGGTGTACATGAAGCAGCCAGAGGGGCTGGATGATGGGAGCGGCAGGGTCTGCAGGCTGAAGAAGGCCATCTATGGCCTTAAGCAGGCGCCTCGTGCATGGTATCACAAG